ATATTGTTGCGATTGAGAAAACCATATGAGGAAATCAATGGATGAAAGAACGAATCTGATTTTGTTACGTTGATTAAGGAAAGATCATGTAAATAAGGGGATTTCATTATAGGATTAAAAGCTGACTAATCTACCCTTGAGTGTTTAATTAAGTGCTTTAATCAGGGTTTTTTTTGAACCACAATATCAAATTTGATCAATGACTAAGATTTCTCACAAAATATAGGTGGTCTCAAATGAACCTATATATATATATATATATATATATATATATATATATATATATATATATATATATATAACCAGAGAAGAGTGCATGTAACTGCATGCAAGAGTGAACATAAGCATGTGAGTAACCACATGGGAACACGTTGTCTTATTCGAAGGGCATCATTAGTGTCCTGTCAATCAACCCTCACTTGTCATGTCAAACTTTCATATTTATAGTTTTTTGTATTTCAAACTCGTATAGAACATGCATTTTTTGTCCATGATAAGGTTATTGAAAAAAACTATTTACCATTTTAGTATGTATTCAAAAATATTTACCATATTAGTATTAAGGAATTGATTTTTCCACTTTTACTTTTGTTTAGTCCACTGAAAATTCATGAGTTGTCAATATTGCCCCTAATTTAAAATTTTAGATATTAAAAAGAAAAGATGTCTAGCTAAAATCTTCTAAATTTCCGTTTTTTCCTCACAAATTAGTTCCCTTGAAATTATGTACGCAAATTTATCTTTTCAATCTTTTTCATTAGTTACACCATTGTTATTTTATGTTTAATTTTTTTATGAACGAAACGATCCATATTTATTTATTACTTAATTTTTATTTTTTTTTTGTTTTTTTTTATATTTTCATACCATCAACTCTATATTTTTAAGAGGTGTTAGCAAATAAAACTATTACAAAATTAGTCACTTAGTAAAAGATTACAACTTCAAACAAACATATATAAAATCACAAATATAATATTGACCAACAAAAAATATTTTAAATTAATGCGTATCAAAAAAATTCTTCAATCGGGTATCTTCAAGTACTTTCCAACAATAAGATAGTGTTTGTTTTCGATGATGTAAATGTATTTGGTCTTTTTAAATGCCGGTGAAATAAAATATGGTACAAAAGTTTTTTTTTTGTTTTTGTTTTTTTCCATTTCTTTAGTCTTCATAGACAAATGTTTGTTTTTTAAAGTCTTTATAAAAAAAACTCGACGATGTTGGTAGAGGCGGCGGAAATGGTTGTGGATGCGGCACAAGTAGTGGTGGTGGTGGCGGAGATAGGGGGTAGGGGTGGTGTGGGAGAAGGTGCAGGTGGAGGTGGTGACAAAGGTGGAAGCTGTGACAGCAACGACAGTGGTGGTGGTGATGGCAACCGTGGTGGTAATAGCGGTGATGACGTCATTCGTAGGGGGAAGAAGCAATATCACAAAGAGTTATAACTTAAAAAAAAAAACTTTAAAAATCAAGAGCTATTTTTTGTTTTATTTGAAAAAGATGTCAAAAAACTCTTTTATGTCTGATGTCTTCTGAAAAATAAATATTTTTTTTCTCAAATGTCTTTCCGCCAGTAGACATAAGAGGTTAAAAAGATTTTTTTTTTATCAAAAATTAAACAACACCTAAGTAATCTTTTATATGTCATTATGTTTAATTTATGATGGATAAAATTTGATGATCAAAGGTTTGTGTAAGAAAAATGGATATTTAAAATAAAAAAACAGAAAAAAAAAAGATAAAAAAAAACTGCTATTTTGAAAAAAAAAACAATAAAAAAAAACTGAAATAAAAACTATTGTTTAAAAAAAATAAGAAAAAAATAAAAAGTTGAAATAAAGGGGAAAGGAAGAAATAATCGCATACTTAAACTAAAAAAACAATAAGAAAAATTGAAAAGTAAACAAATATGAAAAGAAATACTAAAATGGTAAATATTTTTGAAATTACACTAAAATGGGAAATAGTTTTTTCAATCACCTTATTATGGACAAAAACTCATGCACCAATAGCATCTTAATCGGACTATCTCTAGGTTTATTATACTGGCAAATTTATTTGATTTACAATATTAACATTCTTGATATTTCAAGAACTACTATTTAATATAATCCTTCACGGTCTCGAGTCTCCTTAATTTGGTGATTACGGAAGGCAGGAATGAAAAGGGTTGTAGATTTAAAGGGTGGTTTAAAAGTAGATTTAAAAAGTAGTTTAAAAGTAAATTGTTGTATATATACGTTGCTGTTTAAAAAAGAAAAAAAAATGACAAGGTTAAACAAAGTGAATCGGTGTTGCTATTTTATTTTTTATTTTTTTAATTTGTTTTGAACCTGTAACCTTGTGTTCTGTTCTTCCTATTTGCCATTTCCAATTATATATATATATATATATATATATATATATATATATATATATATATATATATATATATATATATATATATATGAAATTAATTGTATTTATTAATGGTTTTTGGCTTATGCGGTAATCGTTAAAATTGACCAGTGTGTCCCCTTCAAACCCTCTTGCCAATCGTCGTCAGTTCTTTCATGTATTTCGTACAATTTTCAACTAGATATTCTCATGATTAAAATATCCGGGATAAAAATTATTGAACTAATATGTCAACAATTCCCAATTTATTAGGTTAATTTTATAAGAAAGTCTTAACATTTTATATATGATTGAAAAATAATTTTCGAGCTAAATCTTATCAAAATTGTTTGGCTACTTATAGGTCCAGAAAGTACACAAATGTTTTCAACTAGATATTTTACATGATAAAACATTTTAAAAAAAAATCATTTTTTTTTGCTTCCAATTCAAATAGAGCCTTTATATATCACAAAGTATCGGATGTCTTTATTAGTCCCTCTTTTGTTCTTCTCACCTCTCCAGCACCTTTCATAACTTTGAATATATGATTGGATATTTTAGGTGGAAATTCTGTCTTTGGAATATCCATGGAATGGGTTCAGATGGATTTTTCGCATTCGAAATGAATCAATGATATAACAACCTCCATAGATACTGATTGAGGTTACAACCGATTTACCTACCTTTCTCAGACTTGTTGAAACGACTACAAGACATCTTAATAAAAAAGAGAAAGAAAATTTATTAAGTTTGGGTAAATTATACTATGGTTTAACCTTTTTATATAGAAATTGTATAAAGATGTTAGGTGAGACATGTAACATCAATGTTAGAAGTTATGTTAAAAAACAAAATTATAAAAAGTAAAGAGTTACGTAAAATTTATTGGGTTTTTATTAAATAGGGATAATGACTTGAAAGGGTAACGAACTTTCGACTTTGTTCACATTTAGTTACTAAACTTTTTTTCGTTATCTAATTGTCATTGAACTATTGAAACTGTTCATATTTTACCCTTATGACCGGTTCATAAGGGTAAAATGTGAACAGTTTCAATAGTTCAGTGTCAAATAGATAACAAAAAAAAATTTAGTGACTAAATGTGAACAAAATCGAAAGTTCGTTTCCCTCTAAAAAAGTTCAATGACTAAATGTAAACAAACTTCCTCTTGTATTATGTTTTAGCAAATTATTTATTTTTGTTAAATTGTAGCAACATTTGTTGATGAAGAAATCTATTAAATAAAAAAAAAACAAAACCCCGTAAAATATATTAAAAAAAAATGAAAAACCGAAACCGAAATAAAAACCAATGGTTTGGTATTTTCCAAAATAAAAAATCACAATTTTCCAATCTGATTTTGGTTTTACAAAAATTCAACTTTTGAATTTCCATATCTAAATCTCTTCCCATTTTTATAATCGAAAAATGATTATAAAACCAAAAAGGGAATGAGAAAGCGCTCAATTCGGAATTTTTCTATCCAAAACTCTCCCTTATGACATGAGAGATAGAGAGAGAGACATTTAAACACCTCTATATAAGGTGGGTTCATACCACTTGTAGAGGTGTGCTTGAAAGATGTAACATTGAAAGTGTTAGTGTGTGTTAATTATATAGATTTAGATCTAGATCTTTTTGTAAACACCTTTCATAATCGAATGCATCTCTTAAACACCCAAATCACCGTGTTCTATGTGTGTTCTTTAATTCCGCATGTCAAACCAATTGTCATAATTCACATCAGTGAGAATGGTTCATTTTTTTGTAAAACCAAAATCAGATTGGAAATTTTGATTTTTTTTTTGGAAAATGCCAAACCATTAGTTTTTTATTTCGGTTTCGGTTTTTCGTTTTTTTTAATATATTTTTGGGGTTTTGTTTTTTTATTTCATAGATTTCTTCATCAACAAATGTTGTTAGAATTTAACAATAATAAATAATTTGTTAAAACATAATACAATAAGAAGTTTGTTCACATTTAGTCATTGAACTTTTTGGAGGGAAACGAACTTTCGATTTTGTTGACATTTAGTCACTAAACTTTTTTTCATAATCTATTTGCCACTGAACTATTGAAACTGTTCACATTTTACCCTTATGACCGGTAACAACCGGTCATAAGGGTAAAATGTGAACAGTTTCAATAGTTCAGTAGCAAATAGATAACGAAAAAAAATTTAGTGACTAAATATGAACAAAGTCGAAAGTTTGTTACCCTTTCAAGTCATAATCCCTATTAAATAATAAAAAATGAATAAATTTATATTTTCTTGAGTTTTGGTAATAACAATTTATGTAATTTTAATATTAATTTTAACTCCGAATGTTTATTAAAAAAATCGAGTTTTTTGGCAAAATTTTAATAAATTTTCTTTTATGTATTTTTAAAAAATAAAAAATAAAAAGGCCTATTTCACATGGAATCCTGTGAAATGGTGGACCCCACTACAAAATGGTCAAAATATTTATTCAGGCCAACAGTAATTTCACAAGGTATCCCTACAAATTTTGTGGAAGACATAATTTTTCCCTAAAGTTTGGAAAAAGCTTAATATTTTTTATTAGATTTGTGTTTTTCTCAAGAGTCAAAGAATTAAACATTATGTATAAAATTCCTTGACCAAATGAATAAAAAATATAGAAGAGCCATGTACAAAATCAAAATCCAATCTCAAAGCCACCAAGTAGTAATACTAATAATCTCTTTTGTCATCCATCTTAAATGAATGGAAATATAATAAGCCATCATCTACACTCACAATCCTAATGGTCAAAGTCAATCCCCTCCTGAACCAAAACCAAAACCTTATGTCTAGAGAGATATGAATAAAGATTGCTTTTTTTTTTGACGGAATGAATAGAGAGAGTAAATGACCATTTTACCCTTTTGTTTTAGGACATCGATTAGGGGCCTCCCTTCTGCTTAAGAGTTATTTTGTCACCCAAGCTTAAAGCTATCCCTTGGGTTTTGCTTCTAATCCGAATGTATCCACTTAGCTTACCATCCGCCTGCTTCTCAACGCTCAAATTTACCAAAGCGTCCTCCCCAAACACACTCTTCGCGTACAAATTAGCAGCCAGGAACCCACAATAACCCTCAAGGGCAGACCTAAAGTAGAAATATATAACTTTCTGTATTAAGCTAAATTAAAAATATATAATAAAAAAATAAGAAGAAATTTAATTGATTGGCCACGTAAGATAGATTCAATAAAACCGCCATGTAAGACGCCACGTAGGCATTGAAACCTGTATAAATAACTTACGGTGGAGTAAGGCACTTCATGTTGGTTGATTTAATAATATGATCCAAAAATTCCTTCTCATCTTGAATCACAGTGTTCACAGCAACCTGAAAAATCCATACACAATATTAACCAATCACAAATTCACAATTTATAATTTAATAATTTATTAAAAAACTATGAATTAATGATACCTTATTTTCCCACTCGAATTCAGCCCACATGTTTCTATAAGCAGTATCACTACAAACAGCTGGAGATATGTAATCCATAATATCAATATGAATATCATTTAACACAACCACATTTCGTTCAAGCACATTTGAAGTTTCATAAACGAGGTTCCCAAATATGACCCCGGTCTCGGTTGACGACACCTTGATGTTGGCTTTGATCTGCTTGCTTGTTTGAGGGGCAAGAGTGTAATTTTGCGGACGTTCAACGAGTTTAAGGTCGCCCATTGTGGCTAATTCTAAACAGAGATTTTGGAGAGTTTCTTTGGTTCGGTTGATGACAGTTACATCGAGGACAATGTCGTAGTGATGAACGGTTACGTATGCTTCTGCGTATACGGGGTCGCTGAATCCGGTTAGTTGGAGAATTCGGTTGAGTTTGTTTGCAGCATCTCCTTCTTTGATGAATTCTCCTGTTGCTCGTTTTAGGTCATCTTGAACTTCGTCTTCTATTTCCAGCTGGCTCATTCCCTGAGATGTTGACCAAGTCAAAGTCAAAGTCAAACATTATATATCTTATGTGTGTTGTTCACAATCTTATTGTTAAGGTTATGTCTGGCGTACTAGCTAAAAAGCTAGCTGATAGTTGAAAAGGTAGCTCATAAAATATAACAGCTAGATGATAGCTGAAAAGGTAGCCGATAAAAAATAAAGTGTGGTAAAACTAGCTGATAAGCTAGCTGACATGTAAAATGACATAAAGGGGCGTGTAAAATGTTGAGTTTTTTTTATAACTGATAAATGGCATTTGGAAAAAAATTTAAAATAGCTCAATAAGCTCGTTGTAAAGCTAGCTAATAAGCTAGTCTAAGACTATGTTTGGCATACTGGCTGAAAGCTAGCTAGTTGTTAGCTGAAAAGCTGGCTCTTAAATAAAAAGCTAGCTAATAAAAATTGGCATTTGGTAAAACTAACTAAAAGATATAAAATGACATAAAAGGACATTTAAATGAATGTGTTTCTATAATTAATTAACGGGTATATTTGGAAATTTAAAAAAAAAATAAAAAAAAAGCTCCTAGAAAGCTAGTCTAAGTAACTTTAAAAAGCTAGCTTATAAGCTACTTTTAGGTTTGCCAAACATGACAATTTAAAAAAAAAAAAAAAAAAAACTCGAAAAATAAGCTAGCTTATCAACTACTTGTGGCGTGCAAAACACAGCCTAAGTAGTCTTTTAAAAAGCTAGCTTATAATCTACTTTAAAAAGCTAGCAAATAGTCTATTTTAAAGAGCTAGCTAATAGTCTATTTTAAAAAGCTAGAAAATAGTCTATTTTAAAAAGCTAGAAAATAGTCTGAGTAGCTTTTTAAAAATCTAGCTAATAAGCTAGTCTGAGTAGCTTTAAAATAGCTCAATAAAGTGCTAGTCTGAGTAGCTTTTTAAAAAGCTAGTTAATAAGTTACTTTTTGGTTTGCCAAACATGACAACCTAAAAATCCTCAAAAAAATAAGCTAGATGTGACGTGCCAAACATTAACCAAAGATTTTAAAAAAGAAAAAAAGAAAAAGAAACTTACCTTCCTACTCTTCAAATGGTAAAAGTCAATGAGATCATCAGGTTGAGCATGAGAAACCAAAGCCTTAGCTTTTATCTCTTCAGTTTCCCTCATCTGTTTCTCCACAAGCATTTGAACAAAACTTTCACGACAAGACTTTAGCCATATTTTCTTGATCTCTTCATTTCGATTACACAACAATCTTACACAAACAACAATCCTATCATAAGAATCACTATCAATCGGATGTGTCAAAAACGAAGATTGACCAAGTTGGACCATGGAAACAACAATCAACAACACTTGTGTACACACTCTATTCACTTCACTTTTCAACATCTGAACCTCGGTCAAACGCAACACAAGTTTAGTCAACGTGCATGCCACCACAGCACCAAGAAAGAAATCACCAGTCAACAGAAGAGACCTCAAGTTCCCAGAAGTCAACGTTGACTGAAGACTGTTGACTGGAGCAAAAACAGTCTCAGAAGCTGCACTTTGAGTCGCATATGTCCCATCTGCAAGAATCGCAGGGCGTTTAGAAGAAACAGTAATTGAGTTGACTTTTTGTGACTTGTTTTCATTGTCGCCTTCTTCTGGAGCTTCATAAAAAGGTAAATCTCCAAGAGATTGTTTTATTGTCATGATTCCACTTTCCACTTCAGAAAGTGAAAGACAATACTCGCTTATAATCCAAAGAGCACACGAACAAACCCTAGCTGCTCGAATTTGATAAAAAGTGTCTAACAATCGAGTTACAATTGACACCCTCAACTTTGGATTTGTTTCAATTATCTCCCTTACAAAAACAATCACATCCATAGCTGAAGCAACATTACTATCACCTAAAAAGTCCATTAACATGTGGACAACTGTCCCTGCAACTTCAGGGAACTTAACTGCACATGAATGGATGGATTGTATAAGCATTTGGCGATATTCTCCATCTTTTTCTAACTCTCCACTTTGAGTCTTCACAACTTCTTTTTTTAAAGTGAGAACAACTTCGTTTATGTTACGAGGGGTAATTAGGTCAAGAACAATATCAAGGGTTTTTCTTCGAATGTCGTGATTTGGGCTTGAAAGTGCTCTGAGTATGTCCATTATCATGTCCACCATGATCTCTCTGTGTGAAGATTTTAACTCGTCTAATCGATCAAGAACAATGAGTTTCACATTGTTGTCACTTTGAGTTAATAAAAGTTGGCAATAAGTATTTGCTGCAGCTCTAATGGCAGTTGGAGCAGATGAGAGTGACACCAATGTGGAAGCACATTCGAAAACTACAGCAGCTGAAGGGACATTTAGTAAAGATATAATGATCTTTATGTACTTACCCTTTTCTCCTCTTTTCACTCTACAAACTTTGCGTATCAAGTCTAACACCACCATTTGTAGCAATTCCCCCCATTCTGAGACTCTATCGACATGGGTTAAAAGGTAATTTACAGCATGGTCTTGTGCACATGTGAAAAGCATGAGAAATGCATTTCTTTTTGCTGATTGGTCTGCTTCTGTTGAGAGAACTTTTTCAATCATTTCAGGGGCATCTACCAAAAGGTGTTCTCCTTGTGGGAGTTTGTAGATTGCCATTACTGAAAGTATGGCGTTTCTTCTAACAAATGGATGACGATGTTCAAGATTGGTTAATATAGAAGGGATTAAGGGTTCGAGGATTTCTGCTTCATTGATTCGACAAAGGAATCTTAAGGTAACACCACGGATGTATTCATTTGGGTGTTGGAGATTGTTTCTTAAGTTTTGGCAGATTAAGATCATTTCAGGTAAGACTTTTCCCTTTGAGTCTGTTTTTTCAATGATTTCGAGGTAAAGAAGGAGGAGTTTTTGAACAGTGTGATCCTCTGAAGGAAGAACGTATCGAACCATTGTGATGAAAAGCTGTGGTAGTGTTTCACCGTTTAGTAAGAGCATGACAGCTTTTTTCATGGCTTCTATCTTTGCCATGTCATCGTTTCCTTCAAGAGCTTCTTTGATCTCATTGGCAAGTGCTGGTGTTCCTTTGTCAAAATGAACAAGTAGAGTGCAAGATTTCTCCATGGTTTCTGTTGCAAATGATCAGATTTATTTTTAGTTCATCAACTCCAAAACATTAGAAGGTTTATTTCTAATATTCTAGAATGTATGTGTTATTTGCAGTAATCATAACTCATATAGCTAAAATCACATCCAAATTGTTCATCTCCAGTGTAGACACTACATAAGTTTGCAACAATGTTGGGCATCAAACTCAAAAAGAAAAGTGTGTATTAGTATCACATTTCTTACATGCCATCTGATATACAATTTAAATCAGACCTCTGAAATTTGAAGTTCATATACAGATCTATGCCAGATTGGAAGCACATAACTCAAACATGGTTGGGGATATTAGTAGCTTAAACATGTGTAGTAAAGAGAGATTGAATGGATACATACAATCAATGATTTATCAACAAATAGCACATAGATTATAACTTGCATTACAAATAAATAGATAGATTATTAGCATCGTTCTAAAACAACATCAGAATAATCAACATCCAAGTACTACATCTAAAGCTTAGATTGATCAAAAGACCCCTGGCAACCAAGGCTAGATCAAATAAGCTAGTGGATCTTGCCGCTCTAAAACGTAACAATGCAGGAAGGGAATCGTGACGACCATTGAAAATCTCCGATTATGTAACTGTTTATCTGTCTTAGCGAAAGGAATTCGGATATTCAATGCGTGAAAGGTGATGAGAACATCTGATAGATAGATTCACAAATGCAGACATAAACAATGCGAAATCACAATAAAACAGCAATGCTCATTTTGACAGAACTGAATTGCAACGCACTGATAACAAAATGATAATTCTGAGAAAGATCGCGTGCAAAATTCATAATCTATATAAGCGTGTGAGGATTAGAGAGATTGTGATTGTACGTTACCTGATAACGAAGAAGATGGGACTTAGGTCACCGTGGCAGGAGATGGAGAAATGGCATTTAACTCTGGACGCCGGCTGCAAGAAGTGGGCAAGTTTCGGTGGTGGTGGATCGAGAGAGAGAGAGAGGAGCAAGGATCCGGCGAGGCAAGACTCAAAAGGGAGAGAGTATAGAATATAGATCTCGTCGTATTGAGGAAGATTTGGACTGTTACCAAATGTTTCACAGCCGCACCCTTTTTACACACGGCGAGCTTTAAAAAGCAAAAGAAAATGATAGTTTTTTTTTTTTTTTTTTTTTTTTCCAAAATCACATGTAAATTATAAATTTTGTACTATATACTTATAATTTCAAAACTAGGTGTACACCCTCGCAAAGCGGCGACGACAATTTTTACTGTTCCGATGAATGATTTTTTATTTAGAAAATGTTATTTGACTGTTTCAATGACTATAAATTTTCTGGCTGATATATTAAAAATATTTCATGCCTAACCTTTGGGCAAACATCATGCCCACGTTAAAAAAGAAAAAAATTTAATTGATGTTTCATTTCTTAAATATTTTCGTTGATTATTTTTTACCATAATTAGTTTTTGTTCATAAAAAGATGAGTGGTTTATGCATAATAGATTTGTACATTAAGTTATCAAGCATATACCTCTTAAATTTCAAGAAAGTTAAATATGCTTTAGCATCGTTGGTTGCGATTTTGATGCTAGTTGTGATTTTGGCCCTAGTATGATGCGATTTTACGTTGTGAGCTCACTCGAAGAGAAATTATAAAAATGTAGTATCAGATTTTCTGTTATTAAGAAATATGCAGTTTGTGTATTAAAATTGTGCTACTCTAGTCTATTCGTATTATTTTCCAAGTCAAAAAACATATTGACGAACAAATGATCGTCAACATAATTGAACCTAAACCATCAAACAACTCAAAAAAAATTGCTTGGCTACTTCAGAAGTCACAATTTCTAACTTCTTGAAACAACTTATGACTTATTAGGTTTAAAAAGTAGATAAAAGACAAAATTAAGTTAAATATTTTTGAACTTATCAACTTATTGAATTTTATAACTATAAAAACTAATCCAAACATTTTTTTAAAAACTCATTTTTCCAAAATTCATAAGACAATAAGTTCATTTAGGTCAAAGTTATTTTTAACTTCAAAATGAAATCTCAAACACCCTCTCAAGTTACTAATATTATAGTGCAATATCATTCAAAAAAAACACGATGCGCTATGGTTTGAAAACATAGAAGATTCTTTAATGTGCCCAATCATAGATCTAAAGCACATTGCTTTAATGTGCCCAATCATAGATCTAAAGCACATTGCATTCAGGCTTGGCATCAGATATGCTTCTTTAGTGTCGCCATTTATGGGTTGAAAACACAATGCATTATAATTTGAAAATTATGGTTTCTTTCAAATGTCCTTTTTTGAATTTTATCCACAATATCATATAAATTATAGAAGATGATAATTATTATGAATACCTTCAACTCAACGTTGCTTAAGCCTTATACTCAATGTTTTAAAAACCGGTTTGAACCGGCCAGTCGAACCGGTTGGACCGGGAACCGGAGAAGTGAGCGGTTTAACTAACAACGGTTTTATGTCTATTTCTGAACCGTAATGAACCGGCTGGTTTTTACAAAAACCCGGTTGAACCGGTTAAAATTTAACCGGTTGAACCGGTTAAATTGAATAAAAACACATGGATTGATTTAAAACTTATGGTTATGTGTTTTTTTTAATGTATTTAGATTGATTTACAAGTTGTTTTATGTGTATTTTTAATGTTTAAACTTATGGACGTCAAATTCTTGATTTATGTTTGTATGTAGTATGTATGTGTGTGTAGGAACATAAGAAAAAATATGAAAATTATAGTAACCGGTTCACCCGGCGGTTGAACCGGTTAAACCGGTCGGACCGGAAACCGGTCACGATACCGGTTCAACTAAAAAACCGGTTTTTAAAACATTGAATTATACTTATTGGTTCGATGGAAACTCAAGCACATACAACTTGTAATTTATTAACAAATAGTTCAATATATGTCAATAGCTATAGTATAAGTTTGTTACATACTAAGAACAAAATAAGTGCGAAATTTATGAATAACTCAAAATAAGTTTTTTTAAAATATCCCTATTTTTCAACTAAATTAGGGTGTTTTTTCTCTATTACATAATGTTTTCGTTATAACTATCAAAACAAAACAGGATAGCATGCACTATGAAATGATATATTTATCAACTGCGAAAATCTTCAAACAATGTAAATATTCACAAATACTTCGATAAAGGTTATAAAATTCCTATTTTCAACTATAATATATCTAGGGTAGTTTCCGATATAATTATAAATTGTTTTGTCGGATATTATTAAAATAAAATAGATAAAACTTACACTGCGAAATGTTTTATACATCAAAAAATAATTTTAAGCTTGCAAAAACATACTATATGAATAGCAAATATACCAACTTTGAAGACATTGGAAGATGATATCTTCTAGATAACGAAATAAATTTTTAGTGGGTGTTTAAGATTGCTTAATTAACTTAATAAACATTTTTTGATAAAATGTTTATTAGCTTATGATGAAAAAAATAAATTCAATTTTTTTTTTGAATTAGCTTATGTAAGAATTAAAGTAATATGGTTTTTTTTTTTTTTAAAAAAAAAAAAAAAAAAAAAAAAAACTTTGAATAATTTATGTGACTATTTTTTCAATTTGGAAATCGTATCGGTCATCAATGTGAAATATGAGGTTATTTTGTTAAATAAAAATAATGTATTATTTTATTAATCCCGTATGAGATATGATTATATTGTAATTCCCTATTTTTTATTTTAACTTTTTTATTATATTACCTAATTACTATGATTGTAAAATGAGTGGTTATATAATTACTAAATTTTGTTAAAAAAGGTATTTCTCATCCAATAGATTAAGGGTTTATGATTAGATAAGAGTATGTATAATTTATACATTTAAAAAATCATTTGTTTAAATTCCTCTAAGGGGGCTCGGTATGGGTCCTCTACCTAGTGGAGGATCCTACGTGGAAGGCTAATAACACCGTTAAGGTTTGGAGAATACCTAGTGGAGATCCTAACGCGTCTCGATGAATAACTTAAAAGGGCTAGATGTGCATTTGATCTTTCCAAACGGTCATCATTTTGTACTTAAAATGGTATGATGTGGATGTGAGATAGCAAACATATGTTTAAAGACATGGACACGTATCTATAATCGAATAGAGTTTTACTATTCCAAATAAAAAGAAAAAAACAAAACACAAGCGAACAAAAAAGGTAATCAGAAAGAGGAATTAAATATCATCCTACCTTTTAAACATACTTATCTTCCTACCATATCAAATGTTGACATGTGTCACATTTAATGACACATTTAATGAAATTGATAATATTTTAGTCCACTTGTTACTATTTAATGTAGGTAGGAGGATAGTAGGACTAATAGGAGTAAAAAGGGATATTTGATGACACCTTGTTTATTGATGAAAGCGGCTAGGGAAAAAGAGATATTTGATGGTATCCCCATTCCAAATACTAACATCTCACTTTCCTATTTATTTTATGCAGATGACGCATTGTTTATTGGAGATTGGTCAACAAAAAATGTCTCCAATCTTGCTAGAATACTTCGATGTTTCCATGTTGTATTGAGCCTAAAGGTGAACTTCAATAAGTCAAGGGTCTTTGGTGTCGGAGCTGATTTTGAGGAGGTACGTTGCTGGGCGGGGCCATTCGAATGTGCCCCTTCTTCTCTCCCTTTTATCTACCTTGGAGTACCAGTGGGTGATAACATGAATAGGAAAAAAGCATGGAAGCCAATTGTTGACAAATTCAGATCTAAACTCTCCTCGTGGAAGGCAAAGTCATTGAGTTTTAGCGGGAGGATGACTTTGGTAAAGTCGGTTCTTGGGAATCTTCCAACTTTTTACCTTTCATTATTTCCTGCCGCCGTTGGAATCATTGAAGAGCTTGAAAAAATTCAAAGGCAGTTTTTATGGAAGAACGATTATGAAAAGCAAACTGTGCATTGGGTTGCTTGGGATAAACTAAAAGCCCCAAAGGATGTTGGTGGGGCAGGAGTGGGTTCTCTATGGAATCTAAAGTTGGCCTTGGTATTGCTTTGCAAAACAGAAGAGGAGTGGGGTATGGTCAAGCATTGACAAAGTTAAGAATAGATTTTGGAAGATGAATATTGAAGTAAAGGAGATATTGAATACGTATGACGGGGGTTTAACTTGGAGATCAGACTATGCGGTGGATGGGAAATTCTGTGTGGCGAGGCTGCGGAATAGACTTGACAAAGCATATCACCCTGTTGGTGATGGTGAATTTTGGTGGCTGAATTCGGTCCCTAAAAAGGTGGCAAGTTTTGTATGGCGCGCTAAACAGGGGAGGATCCCATCCGCTGAGGCTTTAGAGAGAAGAAACATCCCTGTTACTTCCCCGATGTGCGACTTCAGATAGTAATGAATCCTGCAGACCACATTTTAACCTCCTGCAGCCTGGCGAAGGAGATCTTATGTACGGTGCTTAACTGGTGTGGAATTCTCCCCCGGTTATTCTCTGGAGTCAATGAGGTGCTAGCTTTTGCCAGGAACTGGGGACATTGTCCAAAGAAGAAAGAGACCCTTACTTGTATTCTGTACGGAACTATCTGGAGCTTGTGGAAGGCTAGGAATGATCGGATTTTTAGAGGCGAGTCATCGAAACCGGCGAAAATTGTGGACTTTATCAAAGCCACAGTATTTACGTGGAGAAAATACAGGAAAAAAATAGGCGACAAAATGGATTGGGATAAGTGGTGTGTCTCACCTTTAAATTGTACATAATGTATGCTTTCTTCTCTGATGATTAATCTTTGTACTCGTGGCCCCTAGTATCTTGCTAGGGTGCATCTTTAATAAAATTGCCGGTTTAAAAAAAAAATAAGATGATATTTAATTTCTCCAAAAAAACAACACGCTAGTTGGTATGAAAATGGAACAACAAACCAGATCTATAATTACGGCTTATGATCATTAACAACAAAATAATCATCTAATCCAAAAATATAATCCAGATTTTCAGAACATACGACACGTTTGAAGTCACTTGAAAAACAAAATCGAGAGCGAAATTCCACCAAAGTGATAAAGAAGGGTTTTTTGTTGGATATTCTTAGTCACAATCGGCATATCCTCCAAAATTGAAGCAATTATCGAACTCACGTTATCTACAGCTGAGAATCAGCGAACTTGTTGCAGATAATCAATGGCGAAATTATCAAACAGATGGGCTTCGATCACCGTTCTCCTTCTTCTCTGGCGAAATATCGTCATTGCCCGGCCATATGACAGGGCAGACAGGCAGTATGATGGCCTCACGTTACGCAAAACGCCAAGTGATAATTATCTTCGAGTAGCAGGTGGGGCCGGCGAGGGTTCATCGTTCAAGGTGGCTCTATTCGCCGATCTGCATTTCGGAGAGAATGCTTGGACTGATTGGGGTCCACGACAAGATATGAACTCCATCAAAGTCATGTCCACCATTCTCGATTCAGAAAATCCAGGTTCGTAAACATGGCGGTTTGGTTATAGCTTTTAATGTGATCAAATCAACGCTTATGGTGTTACATTCCCAAATTTGTGACAGATTTTGTAGTTTATCTTGGAGATGTGATCACAGCAAACAATTTACCGATTCATAATGCTAGCTTCTACTGGAATCAAGCAATCTCTCCAACTCGAGAAAGGAACATACCATGGGCTAGTTTATTTGGTAACCATGACGATGCACCATTTGAGTGGCCTATCGACTGGTTTTCATCTTCCAGGATTCCTCAAATTCAATGTCCTTCCAATTGTTCCGGTTAGCCCCAAAATGCTTCGATTATCGTTATCATCAAATTCATGGTGCTTACAGATTTGTCCTAATCAGAATTCCCTTTATTTTGGTTTTGGATGAATTTTTCAGAGGGAGATGAGTGTAGCTTCAAAGGAACATCGCGTTTGGAGCTGATGAGAAACGAGATAGAGCATAATTCATTGTCATACACTGGATTTGGTCCTCAAAATCTATGGCCAAGTGTATCAAATTACGTTCTTCCTCTTCTATCCCCAAAAACAGATCACAAATCGCCGCTAATGTTCATGTATTTCTTGGATTCCGGTGGTGGATCATACCCAGAAGTCATATCAAACATCCAATCCGAATGGTTCCGCAACAAATCTCACGAAGTAAACCCTGATTCAAGGTTAGCAATTAATGTCGCTCTATAGATCATTGAATCACGACTTTAATCATATGTGACGTATTGTTATATGTTACAGCATCCCGGAGATAGTTTTCTGGCATATACCGAGTAAAGCTTATGAGAAGGTGGCTAAGAAAGTTGCAGGTAGACGAAGACGAACTCAATGCGTGGGTTCGATGTTCAAGGAGAAAGTTGCAGCTCAAGAAGCTGAAATGGGAATGATGAAGCTTCTTACAGAAAGACCTTCAGTTAAAGTAAGGATTACATTGATTTCTGTTGTTTAATTTGAAAGGGATATAAGATATTTTCGTGGTGGCGTGTAGGCGGTGTTCGTGGGTCATAACCATGGGCTTGATTGGTGCTGTCCGTATGAGAAGATGTGGTTGTGCTATGCGAGGCATACTGGCTACGGTGGTTATGGAAGCTGGGATCGAGGTGCTAGAATCTTGGAGGTTTCCGGCGAGCCCTTCACCCTGAAATCGTGGATTAGAATGGAAAATGGGACATTGCATAGTGAGGTGGTTTTATCGAGGTAGATATTTAGATTAATGATTGACTAATTGTGTTTTTAATGCACGTAAATATTGTTATAGTTAGGGTCTTATTTTTATTATATACAACATGTTACATTGGAAATGATTTAAATTAAAATTGTTGATAAATAAATCTAATGTTTGAATTGAAATAAAAAGAGAAAACAGAAAAATGTCCGAACATGTTGATAATCAAAACTCATCGCGTTGCCATGTTATAATACATTTTTGGCCATTTGGGATAGTTTAGAGGTTCAAAAGGAAAATTTTCCGAGTTAAAAAAATAAGTTAGGTAATAACAAAAACAAACAGTAGAGATTTTCTGAGTTAAAAAAATAAGTTAGGGACTAAACGCGCAAATTACCCTAAACCATAGAAACCATTTGTGTAATTTACTCTTTATAAAAGTGGTTTTGGAGCATCTGGGATCTTATAAGAGTTCGAGTCTTGGAAAACTTCCAAAACCTTGTATCAACAACAATTTGTAAATATGATGAATGAAAATGATATTTGTTTACCATATAAAAGTCGGGTTTTTAAAGGTTTTAAACCGGTTTTCAGACCGTTTTTTTTTTCAAAAATTGGTTACATGTATAATATATTAAACAATACTAAACCAACATTCGGTTCCAAACAAGTTCGATTTGATTTAGTTTCCGTTTGTTTGAAATATTAGTCTCTAACACGCTTTCATCTAAGTTGTCATCGAACCAAACAATAGATATCATTTCCTGGTTCTTTCTAGTTTTGGATCCCTATTCTTCTCTTATTCTTTTGGGTCTTCCATCTACCAAATAAATGATCCGAACAAGCAATTTGGCGTCATTTGAATAAAACTTGGTGCATAGTTTAGGATGTTTGACCTTTCATCTAACAATAACAAAGTGGTTTGAACAAGCATTATTTTTAACACAATCTTCAAGTTGCATGTCATTATCTTCATAGTTTGATGGTAACTTAGGTTTATGTCAGCTATGTTTGATTCGGCTAAGCGTGACTGACTCACCAGGCTTTTTAATCGTTACAACAAGGTACAAAGACTCGTGAGACTATTATTTAGGACCTCATGTTCATTGACGGAGCTTTATTAGGGCAAGGGGGGCTATCCCCCCCCCCCTTCTGATTTTTTAGTTAGAAACAATACTTATAGTTTTATTTTATACATTTTAGGCCCAAAAATATAAAATTTTGGTTGTACCCCCCCCCCCCCTTCTGTTTACCTATTTTTATACATATTATATTTTCGGCCCCCGAATCAAATGTTGAAGCTCCGCTCCTGCTCATGTTTAGGGTCGCGAAACACTTCTTGATTCGACTACAACTCATACATGAACAATATGCAATCTAACAATATAATTAATGTTGACCAATCTAGCAATGAAAACTCTATGAACTATGAAGTATTCAAAATTATCATTTATATATTAAAATTTTCTGAAGAAAATATGAATAGTTTCGTAGTAGCTCATATTGTGAATTTGTTCATGTTTTTACAAGGATGGTATAATTGAAAACCACATAAACCATATATGAACAACAGTTTTGCATTGGCTTGCAATACAAAATTGTTAACATTCTCCACATCAAGAATCGTTAAACATAAATTAAGGCACTATATATGTTCATCAATATTTACATGATTTACACAAACAAAAAGAAAGTATATCATATAAAACAACATGCGAAACTATCCATAAATGTACTGCAAAAATGTGGTTGAAAAAAACATTTTAAATAACTATAGTATACAAAAAACATTAAAACAACGCCCATAGAATTCTAAAAATGGCTTAAATAAGAGATTTAGAGATTTCGTAATGCATTTTGATGTGAAAATAAAAAATATCCTAAAAATACCTTAAATAAGAGATAGGGCCAGTTCAAATGTATTTTGAACTCGGGGCAAGAAAAATAAAAAGTCCGCTCAAAGACAATTCTCACACGTTATATCCAAACAATTTACAAAAATATATCAGTGTAATGAAAAATATTTCTTATAGTTTTTTAAATATAAAATCATTAATAATAGTACCCGGATAAAAAAACAACATTGGTTCAATGGTTATGTTGTTTGCCTCCTATCCATTTAGTTAGGAGTTCGAATCCAAGGAAGTCAAATTTCTTTGATGTTCTAAAGAAAATAGTATAATCAATCTTGTCTAGGATGTATTTCGTACAAAGTAGTCTAACCATTTTTTGTGATATCGATGGGCTTAAGTAATTCTTTAATAACTTCAACTTTGAAAAAAAAAATCTCTTTACGGATGCTACAATGACAAGAATGGTTTATAAGATTTTATATTCAATGAAATTCTTACCGTTAAGACTTAGGAATTAAGATGACATAATCGACTAATCCATTCTATCATTGCTTGATTACTTCATGGATCGTCGGTTTACAATTCTTTGATTTGATTTCTCCAATTTTGGTTGTACCTACCACATTTTCAATGAACATAGATAATTATACCTATGTTATTGCTTTTTCCTCAAATTGGGACATTTGAATTTGGTTCATTATCGTATCTTTAATTTATGGACATTTGAATTTGGTTCATTATCGTATCTTTAATTTATCTTTTTTTTTTCTTAAAAGCATATTAGTCCTTATATATTAATATTATATAACCCATTAGGCTCTTTAAAACAATAGGCTATGAACGGTCACTCCTGTTACCCAACGTTTAAGCTTGATAAGATATATCATTTATTCCTATTTAATTTCCAATTTCAGAGTGGACACTACTTCCAATTTATGGTTTGTTTTATTAAAAATAAAAATTATTATTATTTTGTTAAAAATTATCCACTTCTTTTGTCCATTTAATGATTTTTCTTATTTCCAATTTCAGAGTGGACACTACTTCACAATCGACGTGATTGTTAAGTTATGAGAAAGAGGATAACGAAATTTCCTATTCAAATCCATAATATATTAAAGTTTAATTAGTGTAAGGACTAGTGATGTAAATTAGAAGAACTTAAAAGATGACCCGACTTGACTAGTATAGATGCGTATCTATAGGTTTTGTAAACACGTGAGTTCCGGTTTTAGTAGAAAAATGTTCTCTGTATTTCTTCTTGTTCCTTTTTGTACGGAAGAATCTTCTATAATCAAGACGTATACATTCTAGTCATTGTTGTTCTTCTCATATTTTCTGTAATTTACTTAGCAATTACAACAAATTGGTATTGGGGTGCAAAGACCGAGGATTTCAATTGATGCTTTTTTTTCCGGTGAGCCGCTATGATTTCTTAGTGATCGATACCATACCGGGGTGAAGAGAAGTAATGGGTGGCGATTAAATTTCATTTTCACATTGTATTTCGGTCGAGTCGTGTGCTAGTGTTTAATAGGTTTACTTTTTGATTTGTTCTTGAAACTTTTCAAGAACTTTAGACTCCCACTGACCTCTTGACATATAAGATTCTCTTATCAAGAAACATTTCTTGACAAAACAAATATTCAAGAGTCAGTGTGTGTCTTTATCAAGACAAACCTACACACAATTTGGTATTAGTTGGTCTTTGTCTTATACAAGACATCACAACTTACCAATTTCAAATGTACAAGAGCAAGAAATTTTTTCCCTACTTCACATTTGATAAGTGTGTTAAATTTCTTAAGATGATGTCACTCAAATCACAATTTTGAAGTACGACTCTAAAACTTGATTTTGGAACGAAGTATGATTCATCTTATTGACTTAACCCATTTTGACAATTCTCGACTCCTCTTCTTAGCCATACTAGTGCACTAAGGTGTCCTTAGATGATGAATTGTAATATGGTTCTTAAGACAATCATAAACATGATACAAAAGTATTTTCTCTTCTTCTTAGATTGGAGAAACTTTTATCTTTCTTGCCTAATTGATTCTTCTTATTCGTTCTGTCATTCATTGAAACTTTTCAATGATTCATAATCATACGTAATCTTTTAAGTATAATCATATTTACTAATCTTTTAGCAAATTATAACGAACATTTTATCGTTCTTTGTGGTGGACTTGACCAGTGCACACCATTGTATACCAGATCTCATTATCCTTCACTTGACTCACATACTTATGTGAACAAAGAATTAGTCTCAATTTTCCAAATACGAAGGTTCTCATTCATCACACAATACCAGTTGCATGATTCCAAGTTTATGTCCAATTGAAACTTGGGCGATGAGAATCTTTCCTCATTTGGTAAATTTCTGACATTACCATAAATAACATAACTAAGAATCAAATCCATTCACAATATTTCTAACAATAGAACCATTCAAACACCAATTTTCATAAAACCCATCGCAAGGAAACATAAATAAGATAAATCAAAATTTATTTTATTGCGGAAAAATGTTGTCCTTACGATGCGATTACAAATGAAAACTACGTAAATATTACTTAGCAATCTATCCTAACTCTAAAGTAGTAGCTTTAATACCTGATCCTTGAATCATGCGATCGAAATCCATTTCTTCGCGATCAGACTCAGCTTGCTCCTTCCTTTAAGCTTCCTTTCCTTTCTTTGATCCTTCAAAACATCGAAATGTAATCTTATCACATCATGTATTAGGAATCTCCAAATAGGAACTTAATATAGTTAGATAGTGGATTTTACCTGAAGCAGAGTCATACATCTTGACTCTCCCATCTCTTAGATCTCTCGGGTAGTTAGGGTAGCTTCGTAACCAATTCCCCTTCTTTTGGCAGTAGAAACACATGGATTCTTATGGAATGGTACATGAGACTATCTCAGACTCAGCCTTTCTCTTGCGTAGAGAAAACTTTTCTGGACTTCCAATGTTACCATTGCCCATAGAGGGTTGGGATATTGATTTACCAGACAAATTTGCTGATCAGTGTGCCAAATCATTTGTGATTCAGCAGCAATAAGCAATTAAGTCAAATCAATAAGGGTCATGTCGTGGTTCATCATATAGTACTTTCTAATGAACTCACCATATGATTCGGGAAGTGACTGAAGAACCAAGTCAACATCCAACTTCCTTTAAACATCGACACCTAACAATCCTTAACTTGTCCATGTGTGACTTCATCTCTAAGACGTGTGCACACACAGACTTTCCATCTTTGTGTCTTATTGCCAATAGGGCTTGAGTGACCTTGAACTTTTCAAGTCTTCGAACACATGGGTCAGGGAGAATTATTGGAGGAGGTGGAGGAAATGAAGCATGATTTCCATTTCCACAATACAATCGTGGAACATCATCTTCATGTGGAAAACTTTTTACAACGGATTTATGAAGACCATAGTTGTCAGACTTTGACATCTATAAAACGGGAGAAAATTCAAGTTAGTTGATTGAGTCCTTAATAAAACACTCAAATGATATATTAAGGCTAGGACCCAACACAATATCCTACAAATTGGAAGAGGGATGCCATAATCCAACTCGCAGAACATTTAAAGGTAGGGAAATGACGATTTACCAATTTCCACCATGAAAAACGAAAAGGAGGGTTAAGTTTTAAATGAATTGAAACTCCTAGATCTGTTGAGATTCATTGAACTTTTCAGTGTCATGTTTAATCTCGATTATGCCCTTCATTTGTGACTGGGATGCCGAGAATCACAAATAAGGTGTGAATGATCATGCGAATGTACGTGGTGCCCTCAATGTTACAGTCACCTAATCGACGTGCCGGTTAACCACACACGCTCCATCGATCTATGACAAACATCGAGTCACCCTTCACTACCAATGCCAAACCCAACTTAGTGTGCCGGTTAACCACACACGCTATACTAATTGTCTCGACAAGGGTACAAAGTGTAATTTCATGGAATTACATCGATTTCACTTTTTCCTAAAGTAATTAAGATTTGGGAATTTAGTAAAACATTTAGTTACTTTAACATTCATTATACTTTTAATGAGGAGAGGGTTTGCCCTATCCTACCTGTTCGGCTAACGACCCTCCACTAGTCAAGAGTGCGGTGGGTAAGAGTGGATACCCATTCAATTGCCATTTTATAGGCAATTTCCTTAAACACCCCTTCTAGACCAGCTTCGTGAATGAGGCCTACTAACGGTAAGACTAGCAGTTTAAGTTATACATATATAATATTAGACTTTTAATGTTATATATATAGTATAGAGTGTATTTTACACTTTTAAAATACTAGGTGGTTTAATTTTATAAATTACACTTTTAATTCAAATTAAATATAAAACATATCATTATGGATTTATTAACTCTATTTTAATTATACTTTTAATTAACTTAATAAAACCATAAGGGTGTAATTTGAACTTATTCAAAAACTAGGGTTTTAGAATTTAACATTTTAAAATCAAACTTTTAATCAAAATTTAAATTCCAAAACTTGAGGGCAAGTTTTGAAACATTTCAAAATATTAGGGTTTAACTATTTAAATTTCAAAACTAAAACTTTTAAAGTTGAAATTTAAAACTATGAAACCTAAAGGGAGAAAATTGAAAGTTTTCCAAACTTTATCAAGAACATTCTAGATCAACAATTCAAATAAGGCAATTAACAATTAATTTGTGGTTATATAATTTTGGTCTAGTCCAATTACTTGCATTACAATTCACCAAATAACTTAAATAATTAAACATTATCTTATAAGGCAACAAATATTTGATTAATTGGTAATTATCTACTATTTTGGCAAGGATATTCACCCAAAATCAATAAAAATCGGATTTTACTAATTAAAAACGTTTATGGTAAGTATCCCAAGCCAAAACAGCAAGCAAATCGCGAAATTGTGCTGTCAGACCCTTTGACTCGTCGAGTCTGGCCTGGACTCGTCGAGTTCAGTCGACTCGACGAGTTCACCAAGTGACTCGGCGATTTATGCAGTCAGAACCAAAATTTTTTTGATTTTTAAAGCAATAAACGATCAAAATAGCATCAATTCATCAACAAATAGCCCTAGGCTCTGATACCACTGATGGGTTATGAGCACTACATCATTCTTATGGTGTACATGCAAACCCTAAAGCTTTGGATCTAGTTTGTCTAATGAACATGCAATAATCATCCAAAGCCATAAACCCTAGATCTAGCATGTGATAATCAATATTAACATAAGAATTAGGGTTTAGATCTTACCTTGATTGTTATGTAGCAATAACAATCTATTCCTTCTAGTAATTGGCTTCTAAAAGCTTAGAGTCACAAATGTCACTCCTCTAATGGCTCACAAACACCAAGAGCAAGAGGATGAAGAAGGAGAAGAGGAGAGGCACTAAAAAACGTATAGAAACCCTAAGGAAGCTCTTCACCACATTTTTGGTGCCATAGGGGTGCTTAAATAGTGAGGCTATTAGGGTTATTTGACTGCTTAGGCCCTAAGCAACCCATGGACTCCTCCTTTAGAGGCCTTAGACGATTTCTAACGGGTTTCTCCATAGAATTCGTCCACTCCTCTAATATGGAGTCCATTAGCCCAATATTCAACTATCACACAATTGATAATTCTAGTCCCCTAAGTTTAATTAATCTCTTTTAGCCACAGAATTAATTCTCAATTAATTATTGACTAATATTAATTAAACAATATGATTTCTCCTTTAATATATTATTCATATAATATATTAATAAATCATAATTAATCCTCTCTCTCCATAATTCATCCTATCAAGTTGCTTTGGTGAAGGCAACCCAAAAGGACCATGCACCATCGGGTCAAGCACATACCAAAATAGTTATGGACTTAGACACTAATCCAACAATAATATACATATGCAACAATTCTAGTATATGGTAAATCCATTTTTTACTTTCAATACAAATAATTGGTGTACATTAAACTTTCAAATGATACAAGTAATGCCAGTAATCATATTTAGAGTACAAAACTATATTATTATCCCAATACGTGTTACATAACTA